GCTTCAAAACAAATCCCCGACGGGCGGCCCCATTTCTCTGTCCTGTGACCGCGACGCCTTCCACAACCGTTGCATGTCGTATTTAGCCACCACGGGGAGTTTGTATTTTCATCTCCGGGTTCGATTACATTCCGCAGCGAGAGCAAACGCGTGCGATGCGCAAAGCCCGACCCTGCTACAATGGTACTCTGGTTCTTGGCACCCGCCAGAACGCTTCCGAAAAGGCGGTGGCATGAGCGGCGGCGCGGCCACTCCGAAGGTTGAGAGGCGAGGGGCGGCGGCGCGTCGCAGCGCTCGCTTCGCCCACCGCCCGTCAGATGGAGCCAGCAGTTGGTCAAGATCCGACCAGCGCGGCCGGGCCCGAGGCATCCTAGGGCGGCGCGGGGAGCCTGGGGCGCTGCAACCACTGCGGGAAACAGTGTCGCAGACGCCGTGGCAGTCTGCGGCAGTCTGCAGCGACAAGCGTGACGAATGAATCCAAGTGACTGCGAGGCACTGCGAGGCGGGCCGGGCGGGCCGCGCCTGCACACAGCCCTACGCTGCGACTGCTGCGACACGCACTGTATAGTGATTGCTTTCCACGCGCCGTGTTCCCTAATGGTCGTACTTCCGGCCGGTGAAAAATGCACGAGCAGCCTGCCACTGTGCCCGCCACTGTGCCCGCCTTGGGCGCCGACTCTGTAGCACTGGGGCTGCCTACGGACAAGGCGGCAGCCCCAGCGCGAGCAACGCGGCCGGAGCAACGGCTACGTGCAGACCACAGACCGGCGGCTTCGAAACCAAACAGCAATGACTTCGCCACTGGCACCGGCACCATCACGTGTTCGATTCGAGACTGTTTGAAGAGGTTAGGTCGTCACATGAATGCCGATGCTCGCGCATAATGGCATGTCCCCCCTGCACCCGCCCACCACTCTGCCGTGTTTGCACGTCCATGTGGCTTTTCCGGCAACGAGGTGGCTCTTCTAAGCAGGCCTGTTGACGGGCCGCGGCCCGGAATGTTTACCAGTGCCCTGGCCGGCCCTGCCCTGCACGCCGTCGTCGCCACAGGCACTTCCCTTGCGGGCTAATGGCCGCCCCACCCCGCCCCGCCCAACCAGGCCGAGCTGTTGTTGGTCTTGTCCACGACGAGCATCAATACCCAATTAGCTTGCTGAATATTCGACCTGCCCCTATCAACAGCACCGTATTTGCCTGACTGTGGCGAGTGGGAGGGGGCTAGGTGTTTCCCCGCGTGACATCGGGGTGCTGCTTTTGCTCTCCCCTCTATCTCTCCTCTTTCCGCTGCACTGCTGCCTGTCCGGTCGACCGGCCGTCCTTCCGTGCCTCGAGGCGCGTTTTGGACTTCCCCGACTTCCCTTGACGCGCGCGGAATGGAGCCCGAGAGTGCCATCCAGCGACGACGTCCCCCCCCCCTCCTCCCCGCCTCGCGCAGACGGCAGCGGGGCCGTCTATAAATCAGAGCCGACCGCCACGACCACTGCCACGAGGACAGTATTACCGATTCTTCCAATAATGTCTCAGCGGAGGGGCGTGGACCCGCGTGCTATCTATACCCCCAGCCCACGCAGTTACGTGCTTTACGAACCGCCCCCGCCCCTCGTCCACGAACTTACGTAACGTGCGTTACGTGGTTTACGGACGGCCCTTCGCGGGATTGGCCCGCCGCTCGTCCATTGGCTGTCCGACCGGCTACGCAATTCAATTGCACACCGCTCCCCGCCACGCCGCGCCGCCACGCCGCGCCATCGGCAGCCGTTTTGTCGCGGATTGCCTGTGGTTTCGCAATCATCGCGTGACGGATGTGCAATCAGCGAACCAGTCAACCTCCCCCGCCCCCACCCCCACCCCCACCCCCGCCGCCGGTCTGCCCACCACCCCCTCTCCGCTCCAAAGGGACACTGAATCGCACACTACCCTCGCCACCGCACGCGCCCTCACCACACAGCGCCACATTGCAGTTCGGATTTGAAATAATTTTTAAGTTGCGCGCGCAGGTCAGGTCGACGGAGGCCAACGGACGACGGCGTGGGCACGGCGAGGCGGGCGGCGGCGAGAACCCGGAGCACCGCCTCGCCATGGCTTCACTTTGGCGTCGCTTTGGGGCGAGCCGTGACCGCAGCGCGCTCTGGGCGGTGCAGTGTTCGAATCGCGGCGACCCCCCACCCCTTCCAGCGGGATGTGCATAACAAGGCGCAATACAGCGGCCACCGCAGGGGCGGGCCAGGCCGAGGGGTCGTGCGTCGCCGCGCCGTGTCGCCGCCGAATCATTAGATTTCGGTAATAATTGGGAGAGCGACACCGACGCCGCAGGGGAAAATTTGTTTCTCCCGCTTGACACTTTGACGGCCGAGCTGAACGAACGACGGCACACGAACGAAACGCGGCGTTTGAATTGGCGCGCGTAAACTGTTGACAGTGGTAGCATCGTCCTGGTCCCTGCTGTCTTTGGCGGGGCGGGGCGGGGTGGGGCCACCGTTGACCCCTCTTGCGGAAGTAATGAGGACAAACGGCGCCTCGGTGATGAAGGCCCCAGCGTGATATCGTTTGTCGTGGCGGGGCGGGGCGGGGAGGGGCGGGGCGGTCATCGAGTAAAACATGTTTCGGAGAACGCAGCGGGACAGTGCGACAGTGGTCGCCGCTAGTCCCCGCCGATTCGCCGAACCGCTCCGCAGCGCGAAAAGCAAAGCCACCGTGATTTTTCCTGGTTGCATTCATGGAAACACGTCGGTGAAACACACGGTGACAACATCGGATGAGAAATTTCCCTGAGCACTCCTCGAAAGCCATTTCGTCGTCACTTGACTGCGAATCGGTGGCGTCACTGACGGTGTTGGCCCTCGCCGGGCACGCACGTCCCCCGCCGGGGGGCAAAAGTATCCGGAGGTTTGGGGGGTTGTCGCCGGGAGTTTGGTGCGCCGACGAGGGCGGCGGCGAAGGCGGAGCTGGGCGAAGCCAAGGCGTGGGGGTTGGGGGCGCGCAGTGCGGTCGCGGCGACTTGGTATAGCGTTGCCTCGTAAAGAGTGGGTAACGAGACCTTTATTGTACCGCGGGGACGCGCGGGGCCGACGCACGTCCGCGCCGCACGTCGCGCACGCGCCAAGCACGTGCCGCCGCGTCGGGGGCGGGGCGGGGCGGGGCGACCGCGATCCGCCACTGCAGCGCGCGGAATAAGCATCAACGCGAGTCATGAAAACGAAATCCGGCCGCCAGGTGGCACGACGAACACACGTGCAGAGGCAGAGCCACTCGGCGCAGTGCCCCGCAGTGCTCCGCAGTGCCCCGTCGCTCCGTCTCCCTCGCACGCGTACCAACCCACGAGTGGGAGGGAGATGCATTACCCACTGCAGGTCAGCCGGGTCGCGACCTCGGTCTGTCTAGAATAGCCACGCCAGACGGCGCGGCGTGCTCTCGTCCTCCCGCTTGGGAGAGCGGCGGGTCCGCCGCGGCGCCGCGCCAGCCGCCTCTCTGTCTCTGTCGCACTCACAGGGCGGCCCGTTGAGTCGTGAGAGAGACAGCGGCGGGCAGTGTGCCAGACGGCGCGGCGCCGCGGCCTGGAGAGCGCCCGGCGCGTCGGCAGCCTCCGGCCCGCGGTGCGCGCGCGCGTCCGTTGGGTTGCCTGCCTCCGGGCGCCCCGCCCTTCGGCTAGCTGTGCGATTAGTCCCATTTTATTTTCAAAGAAGCTCACGCCTCTTGCTGCGATCGACTTCCCCACTCTTTGCTGTGTCTAATCTAATCCACTTGCGCAATGCGAAAAAAAAGAATTTAATAACAACGGTGCAGGCGAGGCCGTGGCGAGGCTATTCACGCGCAAACAGGGCGTGAAATTATTGTTGCGGCCGGACTGCGCTGCTGGAAGCGGCTCGGAGCCCTCCACTGGAAAAGGGGGAGGGGGAGGCTGCGAGGCCCATGGCCGGCCGGGCCGGGGGGCGGGGCGCCGTTTTTACGTTCGTTGACACTTATTGGAAAGTGCGCTGTTACCGGGACTATTATCAACCAATTTACACGCGCCCCGAACGGTAGCTCGGCAGCGAAGCACATGTGCTCTGCGACGCGAGCGACGCCCACTGCAGAGCGAGGCAACTCCGGCAGCCATGACAACGACCCACGTGCGGAGTCAGCACCACTGCAAAAAAAAAAAAACACAATCGCATCGATGGAGTCTGCCGAATCTTGCCGGAGTGTATGATTCAGCTGGAACGCCGGGCTGCTCGTCAATGGAATAAGAGGGACCAGCCCAATACATCCAAATCACAACTTTTAAAGCATGTGAATAAAGGGACGGGCACACAAGGCCGCCGGCCCCTTTTGACTCCCAGTCTCGCGCCAACAGTGTGGCGGACACGAGGAGGGGGCCTGGCTTTGAAGTACTGTCTGCTGTCTGAGGCCTTTCCTCGTGCCTCAGGCCGCCCACACCGTAAAAACGAACGCCCAATCCAATGGGTCCTTTTCCTGATCCAGGGACAATTAGTTGCGAGGAACGACCTGGAGTCCTTAAACACACGCCAACAAACACGTTTTTAAAAATACTGAGGAGAAGCACAAACTTTGAATTTATAGGTTAGGTCAGGTTTGGTTTGGTCAGGTTAGGTTAGGTAAGGTTAGGTTAGATTTTTAAAATATGTATTTTTCAATTGCGTTGGCAACCTTGTTTGCTGTTTGCATCGACACGCGTGGCGGCACGTGCAGCGCGGTGACAGAGTGCTCGGCGTAATTGGGTGAGGCCTGATTATTAGAACCCTTCCAGCGTGCAAACGGTCTCATTAGAATTAGGGGAACGCGTTGTGCTCGTGTGAGTGTGTGTACGTGTATGAGTGGGTGTAAATGGAGGGGGCGCAATCATTAACAATAACACGGTGTAGACCGATCGCGCTCTGTCAATCGTCTACAATGCAGCCGTATGCAAATTGTTTGTTTTTTATTGGGTTCTTTTTATTTATTTAATTCCTTTTATTTTTTCAGAGTCTGTGCTGGAGGTGGTGGCGGCGGTGGGGCTGACGGCGTCCTTGCCCTGCGCCAGCACGCCCCTCGGCGGCCGCCGCGAAGCCCCGCTCATGCTGTTGTGGTACAGCGAGAGCGCGCCCGACGACGGAGTGCCCATCTACCGGTAGGTGGTTCGAGGGTTCGACCCCCGTCCACGGCAAAACGTTTCCCATTTCTACTCACATTGTTTTTCTTTTTTTTTCAGGGTGGACGCGCGTGGCCGGCCTCTCTCCCACGCGAGGCTCTGGTCGTCGCCGACGTGGTTCGGGCCGCGTGCGTCCTTCGTGGTGGACCAGGACACGGTGCACCTCGTGGTGAGCGGCCTGCGCGAGGAGGACCACGGCGTGTACCGCTGCCGGGTGGACTTCAAGGACTCGCCGACCAGGAACTCCAGGATCGGCCTCACCGTCACGGGTACGTCGGGGTGGCACTGGAGGTTTTTCGCCTGGCGGGGATTTGAACCTACGTCTGCGTTCTGTCCGCAGTTCCACCGTCGCAGCTGCTTGTCACGAGACTGCCCCACCCGCAGGGCGGCCCCAGCGTGCCGCTCGAGTCCCTGCCGCCGCTCAAAGAGGGCGACGAGCTGAGCCTGGCCTGCGAGGCGATCGGAGGCAAGTACACCAAGAAACCTGCCGCGTTCATGTGAACCGACGCAGAATGCGATCCGTCCAAGCACCAACCAAGGGGAAATAACTCCAGCCAAATTTTTGTACACCGAAATTCATCAATCTTGCATAAAAGTCACTAAAATTCATTCAAATTTATCGAAATTTGATTGAAATTCATCGACTTTTGATTGAAAGGCACTGAATTTCGACCGAAACTCAACTGAAAATCATCGAAATTCGACTGAAATTCATTGGAATTGTACACTGAAATTCGCAGTGATTTCCGCTTGGCACCAACACAGGGGGAGGGGGAGGCGGGATTCCGAGAACCCTATGCCTGTAGAGGGGCAGTCGATTCCGAGAAGGCGGAGGGCTGAGGGCATGGCCTGGCATGGCCGCGCCAATCCGTGGGGATGAGGCTCAGGCGAAGGGCTTCGGCCATAAACGCTCATAAAGGAAGGAGGTGGCGCCCTGCCGCCCTACCCTGCCCTGCCCTGCCACGCTCCGGCCGGTATGACTACTTCACCTCCGCCCCGATGGCAGGGCGGCCAGGGCGGCCAGGGCGGCCAGGGGCCACGCGCAACTTTGTACGGCACATTCGGAAAGTTGGAGGCATAGTGTACGCCATAGCCTCCGTCTCCGGTAACTGGCTTCGCCAACTGATAACTCTCTCCCTCTCCCCCTTGCTCGTGGAGGCCCCATGCGCCGTCCTTACATCCAGAGATCGGATTTGGGGAGACTTGCAAAGTGTTTAGACGGCTTGATTGTCGAATTCTTGGGCCCACTGCTGTTCCCCCGACTTCCCCGAGTACCCTGAAAACGTTCGGGCGACACGTCTGCCTCGACGGACGACGGTCAAGCCAACGCAGCCAATTCTCCACTTACCAAGAAGTTACTCTCTGCTCGATTCTGGTTCGGCAGGCGGCGGGCCGCTCAAATATCCTTTTCGCGTCTCGCTGCCTGCTGCCTCCTTCATTGTTCGCCCGCCTCACCCACTACTCAAACTTGGCCCCCTTGGCCCCGCCAGGCCCCGCCTCCCCCCCGGATGTGCCACCATCACACAAAGGGGATGCCAAGACTATTTACCCCGGTCCTCAAATGTGAGGGCTGTGGGGCGCGCCACGCGGCACATTGTCTTTCTTGAGGTGGGGGCGCGCGGCACACCGCGGCACGCCGCGGCGCGCACATGTACACACACTTATTAACCCCTTCCGCTCGCACACAGGCTCAGGGGGTCGTCCAATAGTAACCACACATGGTGCGTGGAAGTGCTACACTGCGTCAGCGGAGTTCAAGTCGGCTGTCTCCTTGACATGACAAGGCCGTCACAACTTTCGAAAACTTTTAAGAGAAGTCTCGCATCGCGGAAGAGTGACGACAGAGCGCACAAGCTTCCCGACACATGAATCATTGACATTAATCTAATGGGATACACCGTGAGTAGTATGGGTGCCCCCTTTCGGCGGGCCGCCATTTTGGTGGTCCCCCACTTGCCACTGTGACTGTGTTACCAGGTCGGCCGCGTCCCAGCGTGGTGTGGCTGCTCGGGGACGTGGTGGTGGCCGACAGCTGGGAGGTGGGCCCTCGGCCCGACTCGGTGGTGAGCCGCCTGCTGATCCCCGCGCTGGGCCGCCTCCACGGCCTCCACGGCCTCCGCGGCAGGCTCGTGTGCAGAGCCTCCAACAACCCCAGCGCGCCGCCTGTGGACAAGGAGCTGTTCCTCGACGTACACCGTGAGTAAATAGCAATCAACGTCATTCGGACCCGGGGCTGTGTGCGTGGGGCGAGAAACGGCGAGGACATCTGGGGAGGGGGCAAATTTGTCTCGGGAATAATTAGCAAAACTTAAGGCAAACTCCAAAAAGAACTTGATAAAATGAACACTCCAATATTTTTGTGTATTGCTTGAGCGTTACTTCTGTCTGCGGGTCCACTAGAAAAACGATTCTGCGCTACATGTTCCCAATTTTGCAACCCTGCTTTTGTTGTTGTTGCTGCTGCTCTGAAACTATGCGGCCGGCCCGGAGCAAACTAGCTGCGGTCGCGGCGCGGCAGGCATCGGCATCTCTTTGGCGCGTCTTTGCCGCGAGGCCCCCGGGCCACCAGGCCTTCCTTGACCCGCAGCGGCAGCGAAATGGCGCAGCGACGGGGAACAGAAAACGTCAGATCGAGAGTACAAACAGACAGGCCGACAGACAGGCAGACAGGCAAGGCAGGCAGTCGGGGGCATTCATACACTTGAATGTGTGGGGCGAATGGTGAACTGTATCCCCGCTGCCCGCTCGCTCCGCTTAGAATTACCTTTGTTGGCGACGAGTCCGGACGAGTCCGACGGGAACGGGCCAGGCAGCCCCGTCGCCGCCGCCGCCACAACGATCCAGAATGACCCTAAAATGGCTTTATGGAGTTTGGACACAATGGCGAGCGCGTGGCGGGGACGCCGCGGCCAAACCAGGAAACAAAAAAAAAGAAACAGAGAAACAGGTCCGGGGTTCCTTCGCTGTTTTTGGCTCAGCAAGCGAAGCCTTTTTCTCGACACGGGGTGAAAATCAACTCCAGAGTGTTTGATAGTACAAAAACAAAAGTAAAACCTCATTTTTTTACAATCTTTAACATAAAAATTTAACTGTCAAGGATTATTTTTTTTTTTGCATTGTTGTATTTGTTACGCTGTCGCAGTGCGCCCCCAGTCGGCTCGCATCGTGGGCGGCGGCCGCAGCCTGCTGGCCGGTCAGAGCTACGACTTCCAGTGCCGGAGCCTGGGGTCGCGGCCCCCGGCCGACATCACGTGGCGCTGGAAGGGATCGAACGAGGCGCTGCAGGGCCCCGTCAAGAGGGTCAGTCACTGCCGTCTCCAAATCATGTTTCTCTCTAGCCCTTAATGGCAATGGTAATGCGCGGTAGGCCGGCGGTGTGCGTGCGCGCGCGGCGGGACGGCCTACCCTCTGGTTCGCAGGCGCTGACGGCGGCCGCGCGGTGACTGCATGGTGATGCTTTACTTTTGTTGGCAGCTCGCCGGCTCCGCCACCGAGTCCATCAGCGTGCTCACACTCACGCCGCGGCCCGAGCACGACGGCCGCGTCATCGAGTGCGTGGCCGACAACCCCGTCTTCACGGACAGCGAGGTGCGCGACGAGTGGCGGCTGTCGGTGCACTGTAAGTCTCGTGTCGGTGCTATTGTTATCGCTCTCGGGTGTTCTTGACGGAGTCGAGCATGCTGTCCACAGACGCGCCGCGGGTGACGGCCACCCTGGGCGCCAAGCTCAACGCCAGCAACATCAAGGCGGGCGACGACGTGTACCTGGAGTGCGCCGTGGACGCCCGGCCCGCCGCCAGCGCCGTCACGTGGGCCCACAATGTAAGTGCTCCCTCTAAATCAATGGCGGGGAATACCTCCGTAATTAAAACGGCGACTGCAAGCGGGATGCGCCCGAACCGCGCTCCGTCACTCTCGCACCGCGACGGGGCGCCCCGTGAGTGCGAGGGAGACAGAGCGACGGAGGTGCCGCTGGGACGCAGCCCGCGGGGCTGCAAGCCTTGCGGCCTTATTGAATTCTCGCTCGCTCCTTGCCTGTCGCCATCCCGCTCCTGCCTTTGCTTTATTTCGTCTGTCTCTCTCTCTCTCTCCCTCGCTGTGGTCGAATTACTGCGCGGCCAGCCCATTCACGGCCCGGCCCAGGCCCGGCCGCACTGCCGGAGTGTTTACGATGGGAATCAGACACCGCCACCGCGCCCACGGCCTTTGTCCACACGGCCTGCCCGGCAGTCCCGGCCGCCCCGGCACGGCGGCGTCCTGGATATTTACTTCATGGTGGTCGCGGTTTTTGTTGCTTGCAATTCTTTCGCGAGCGGGCGGGGCGCGGCGGGGCGGAGGGCGATGTGGCCTGTTGCAATAGCCATTACGGTTTCCTGAGAGGGGCCTCCCGCAGCCCGCGGCCCGGGCAGACAAGGGGCTGGAGCGGGCTGGAGGGCCCTCCCCGTCGGCGGCTGATAACACTTGCCGCTGGAGGCTGCCTGGCTGGCGCTGGAGGTCACGCTGGAGGCCAGCAGCCCGCGGCGCGTTTTGGATTCACGCGCAGTCTTTTCATTCTTTTGATTCGACGATTCTTCGCAATCGCTTGGCTTTGCTCCGAGGTGAAAACTTGTTCGTGCCCTACGCAGTGCGCCGCGTGGTGGAATCGGGCCCATACAGTGGTGGCTGAAAGCCAGGATTGGGTCATTTTCGAGAAAACATCCCTCGTACTGCGTGTACGGCGTGCGGGGCGCGCGTGCCGGCCCGGGCTATGAAAAAAACGCGTTTCGGCGTCGAGCCTAGCCGCCAGCCGGCTCCACGCTCCACCACGCCCCGCCACGCCCCGCCACGCCCCGGCCTGCACACGCTCGGCCACGCCCTGTACGTGGCGGACGTGCGGGGGACGTGGCGGGCCTCGGAATGGGCCTTTGGCGGCCTACGGCCTTCGGCCTGGCTAGCCCGGCGAGCGCGGCCACCGCGGGCCCCTTGCCCTGTGCAACCCGACACAACACGCTTATTGGGCTGGCCTTGCCCAGAGGCCCTGCCTAGAGGCCCTGCCCGGCCTCGGCCGCCGGCGAGACCTCGTCATCGGCCTCGTGCCAACGGACGGACCTGTCCGATTTCACACCCCAAGAGCACGTATTTGGAGGTCACCGTCGCACCCGAATCCTTGCCCGAAATAACGACTCTTTTTTGGGTTGTGTATTCCGCTGTTGCTGTTTCTTGCTACCCTTGACTTGAATCTGGTTCCAGGGCGAGGCGGTGCAGTCCAGCTTGTCGGCGGGCGTGGTGGTGACGGAGCGCACCCTGGTGCTGCGGCGCGTGTCCAAGCTGGCCGCCGGGGACTACGCGTGCCACGCCAGCAACGCCGTGGGGCGCGCCCACTCGCCGGCCCTCACCCTCGTCGTCATGTGTACGTACAACGCCATTTACGGTGTGGTGAATCTTTTGCGTTTTCGCTTTTAGTGGCCGCGGTAGGCATAAAACCCGCGCATTTAGTGACTGCGCCGACTGGACGCGCGGTCCCGGTGCAGCGGAGTGTCGCTCTGTCCCTCTCGCACTCATGGGGCCTCACGTATGGGTGCGAGGGAGACGGGGCGGCGAGGACGTCCCCGGGAATCAGGCCGCAGGCCGCAGCGTTTTAATCTCGATTCCGATCCCGTTTGGCGTCGAACGCGAGGGGGAGGGGGGGGGGAGGCCTTGCGGTGATCGTAAGACGTGGCCGGATTGGGGAGCAGCTAGCTCTAGCGGCTCCGGCGACTCCAGCGGCGCGGCTCCCTTTGCGTTTATTTGATTGGATTAGGATAGCCGGGGATGCCTAATGTCCCGAAGGGCCTTTCACTTCGTTATTTCGTGTCGTCCGCGCCGATCGAATCAGCGGCGGCGACGAGCAGCAAGGACCCGAACGGCTGAGTTGCAGCCGCAGCGAGTGTAGGTACCTGTTACCTCGCGAGGCCGCCTGGTTCGCGCTATCTGCGAGCCCAGCGTGAGTGGCGCCACGGCGGCAAAACGGCATGCACACTGTTTCCATTTACATCATTTTTCATTCATTTTTGTCCCATTTTTCCGTCCCGCATTCCCAGGCTGGCTTGCCGGTGGACCGCGGTGGCGCTGCCAAAGCGACAAGATGCCTTTCCTTTAATCTGTGCAAATGGCGAGGGGAAAGGGGGGGGGGCTCCCTTTGCCGCTCCTCGGCCGGACCCCCGTCCCGGTCTCCGCGTCGCGGCGCGCTTTCCGATATTTTGCGTCCGATGCCCACTGGCTTATAAAATGGGCATCGCGGTGAAGTGTAGGGTTGGCTGCGACCGCACCCCGTAAAGCAGCAGCAGCGGGATGAGGGATGAAGGCGCAAGGTTTTCAGTTTTTTTTTCTTTTCTTCGTTCTGGAAGCGCGATTGCACCGCGCATCGACGACTCTTACAGATTATTGACGTTTCCGAGAAGCGGCGCGGTGTCTGTTTGTTATTTCCGCGCCACCTTCCGCGCGGCTTCGGCTCCGCTTTCCGATTCCGGCCGCACTCCGACCTGATTTACAGGCAGGTGGCTGGCCGCTCGGGCTGGCTGCTGGCGGCGCAGGCCAACAGTGTCGTGGCCGCGGCTCTCCCGGCCAATTGTTTGTGTCCCCGGGATGACTTACGCCCCGCGCCAGGCTTTCTCTGTCTCCCTCGCACTCATGGGGCGGACCGTGGCGGTGCGAGAGAGACAGCGCGAGTCCGCCGCTAGGCTGCGCCAGGCCGCCGTCTTGATCGTAATTTACTCGGCCCTCCCTTCGCCTTGTGTTCGCACGGCTCGCGCGGCCAGAGATGAGTTTGTGTCTCCTTACGACGGGGTAAGCAGAAAATAGTGGGCCCGCCCGCGCGGCCGTTGCCGCCGGTGCCGCAGACTGATTCCGAGAGTCGCTCTGTCTCTCTCGCGCCCGTGCGGGACGCTTCGTGGGAGCGAGGGAGACAGAGCGACTCTCAGTGTGGTGCGCGTCGTGGCGGCGGCGCGGCGGCGCGGCCTAGGCTGCAAGTAAGCCCTGAATGGCGCCATCCTGCCGCACGGCACCGCACGGCACCGCACGGCCGGCGTGGACGCGGCCAAGGCGGCCGACGTGGCCCAGGCCCCGCCAGGCCCGGCCTCCGCGCGACACCCGGGAAAAGAAGGGCCAGATTAATGCTCCACGACTACACTGCCAGAGAGGACTCGTGGAAATAAAACAAAACCTCCGCCAATTTTTCCGCCATTCTGCCAATGTTTGCGACCCACTTTCAAAAGCGGCTCTTACTTTATGCAAAAGTGTTTAGAAAAAAGACTTTAAGAGTGTATGCGTGCTTTTCCTGTTTGCGACGAGGAAGATGGAGGCGGCAGACAACTACGCGACTCCAAAATAATGTTAGCCCCTCTTATTGGATGCCAACTTGCTTTGCCTTTTATCTTTCTATGCCGTGTGTGTTGGTGTCACTGTGTCTGCCTGTCTGATCCATGAGAGAGGGTAGTGGGGGGGGGGTCGACTGTATTGTTTTCATCCCAGGCGAGCCAATGCGGTGTTCGGTTGGTGCCGGTCGCTCTTCCTAACGTTTTCCATCAATGAGCTGCCCTCTTCGTGTGGGTCGTAAAAAAGGCGCCCCTCCTTCAGTTTATTTTCATTTCCGCCTCCTCTGTTTCCCGTTATCGCCCCCCTCCCCCCTCCCCCGCCCCCTTTTTGCATTTGCCACCGCGCTAGCGCCAGCTCCTCGGGAAGGGTGTTTTTAGGAGCGTGGAGAAAGCAGGCGAACTTTTCGGTTTACTCTAAACACGCCCCTACAACCCCCACCCCCTCGACTCCCTCGCCTCCCCGCGCTCACTGCCGGCGCATCTCTTTCTTTTCGCTCTCTCTCTCTCTCTCTCTCTCTCTCTCTCTCTCTCTCTCTCTCTCTCTCTCTCTCTCCCTCTTTCTCTCTCTGTCCCTCCAACACTTTTGTGGCATCGCTTGGTAACCAGCGGTAACTTTGTTTCGAGTTGGATGACCGCACGGACCGCGAGTGACTGGTTGATCGAACGGTCGGACGGAGACGAAGAGGGAGGGAGAGGCCAGACAGAAAGAGAAAGACGGAGCACGAAGGCGAACAAGAGAAAGAAAGAAGAAAAGAAAAGTGCCGTCAGAAAAAGTCGGCGGGATTTCAAAAATACGCTGCGTGCTTGAGTGCGCGCGGCTAAGAGCGGCCAGCGGTTGTTGTTTTGCGGCGAGATTCGCTAGTCTGAAAAGCCCGAATGATTTAACGGGGCGTAAGATATGCAGCGTTCTCGAAGCGATCCGGAGATTCGGTCCAGATTTCCGTATATAAAGGAAACCCGGCCAACGGCAATTTCGCTCCGCTCATTTTAATAAATTAAAGTGGCCTAATTATACCTGGGAAGGGTGGGCGGTGGCATCCTTGGCACACGCACACCCCCTTCCCTTCCCTGTCGTCGTGTGGACCGCCACCGAGTTTTCGGAGGGATGAAAAAAATCTCATTCAACGAACGTTAATGAAAGCAGATGATCCATCGCGTTTCACAACTGCTGTGATAGCCGAGAGGTTAGAGACTTGGGGTCGAGTTACCGCAGGCCGGCGTTCGAACACCACCGTCACAAAAGTTTTTTCGACTTGCTATCCTAAGGGTGGTGGTTCGAGGCCATCCGAGCGGAGCCGTGTGCAACAGGCCCACATGCCGGAGGTTCGACTCCTAACAAATATTTCCATTTAATTTTACTGCCTCACCCAGTGCGGTTCAAACCCGCAAACGTGAGCCCACTCCGAGCATGGGACGTGATGGTCCAGGGAGTAGAGGCGTCGGTTCTCAGTGCTAGGGTCGGCGGTTCGACTCCCCCAACTTCTTGCGAAATTTTGACCGGGTCGGTCGAGTCCTGTTGCGTCAAGAACCCACCTCACGCCGATCCCCTCATCATGGGCCGTGGTGGCCGAGAGCGTAAAGTCGTGTGATCCCGAGGGCGGGGTCCGGGGATCGAATCCCATCATTTCATTACATTTTTCGACCGCCTTCCTCCCACTGCAACTCAAACCCGTCGTCCAACACGCTGTCAGACGTACAAGCGTGATAGCGTAGTGGTCAGAGTCACATTCACCTGGCCACTCCGCTGTGGGTGTCTAAAAAGCAATCCGCTTCGGCGGGTTGGCCTCGGCACTGGAGCGATGGAGTATTTGATCCATCAATCCAGACCATCCGGTGTGTGGTTGCGGGTGGTGCCTCCTTGACTCGTCGGGGAGGCGATGATAAGTCCTTTGAAGCTGGCCTAAAACGCTGTATGTTCGGTACGGGAGCGCCGGACAGTGGGGGTACCATGGGGTACACAACCAACCCTACGAAAACAAGAAGCTCCCACCAAACCTCTTCTCTGTCTGAGTCTCTCTCTGTCTCTCTGTCGTCTCACTCTACGTCCCGCCCCTCAAAGAGCTTCGTACTGGGTGCTCTCACCCAGCTGCCTGAGCTTTGGGGTCCTACTGGGTCCCCCGGCGAACGCTTGGGTCGCTGACGGGATTAACCCCAGGTACCTGATAGCACCGGTTCCCATCCCGAACACCGAAGTAAAGCAGGAGGCCTCCCCATTAAGACTGGGGAGGGGGTGTAGAGTTCAAATTTTTTCTTTTCTCTTTCAAATTTCTCGGTTAATACTCGTTTGGTTTCCTTATACGGGCGGGCAAGCAGACGACAGCAGGCAACGGGCATGTCCACGGCGCGCTGCTCGGGCTGCTATCCGAGGTGGGGGTGGGGGGTGGGGGGGGACAAATGTCGGCCCGTGATTGAGCTGTTTCGCGTCCTGCTCACTTACTGTTGTTCCCAGCCGCCAGCCCGCCTGTCTGCCAGCCCCGCCAGCGCGGCGGAGCCACGGCGGGGGACGGAAATCGCTCTCCTCTCGCTCCTTGAGTTGTTTAGGGGCGGCGCGCTGTGACGGCGACGTCGGCGACGTCGGCCGGGCGCGGCGCGGCGCGTCTTTCTGGGGCGACGCCTGTCTACGCCGACGGAATGGCGTGGCGGGGGGACGGGGAGGCTGGGTCCAAGGCTGGGTCCTCGAAAACTCCTCCGGCTGGCGGAGAGAGAGCGTGCTCCATACGGCCGTGATCACCGCAGCGCGCTGGCGGTCGTCCAGGTCGTCTCGTCCTGGGCGTCCACGGCGGCGTCCCCCGCGTAAAACTACAGCAACTCTAACGACGCTGCGCGCTGGCGAGCAGAAGCAGCGGCCCGGCAGCGCGGCTTGCAGGCAATAAGCACCACGCCGCACGACGCGCTCGTAAACAACCCGCAGCGTAGCGCACCGCGTCCCAAAAACATGAAAACGGACTTGAGAGCGGCCAGTAAAAGGAAATGTTGCCTATCGGCAGGACAGCCTTGATGGCGTGCGCTGTCCCCCGCGCTGCCGCAAGGCCTTGCAAGGGTATCAGCAACGCGAGTTTGCGTTGTTTCCCGGAACAGGCTGGCGGCCTGGGCTTCGAAAAAGCAACGAAA